CCATCCGCGGTCCTTAAGGGGTTAAATGTATTTTAAAGATTAAGCAATTATCATCACAATACAGTTCAGTTCAGACACAGGCAGGACATATATCCATTGGTGGAGAAGAAACATCCAATGTTCCCTTCTAGTCAAATATTTTTTATTGAATGAATACAGAGATGACACATTTAAAAAAAACATATATAAACTAACGCAAAAAAAAAAAAAAAAGTTACTGACTGAATGGTAAGGTTTTTGTAAATAGGCTTTTTCCATGAATTTACAAAATAATATTTTACAACAATGTTGTATACCAAGTTCTGTTATACATAAGTAACTCCATATTCATAGGATAATAGTTTAGGAAATATGTTGTTATCTATTTTGCATATTCTTTTTTGTTATCAGAATACTGTCACACTGTATATTGGCCATTGTCCTAAATGAAACAACATGGAGAAATAAACAGACAATACAAAACCATCAGGAACAACATCTAAGTCTTGCAAATCTACTTTTGAAACAACATTTATGACCCAAGACATTTTTACCCCATCATCCCCAACTTTCAAAGCTGAATTCCTACCTCCAGTCAGCCCTATCCCTCCCTTCCACATTGCAGGATTTTTGGCCGGCTAAGAAAATACTGTCCATCTAAAAATACTGGAGCAGAGACACAGCACTCTTGAAGATTCTCTTTCAGAGGTATAGTTGAACTACAGACACAGACAACATATCTATTTCTACTTCAAGAGAAGATTTATGATTTAGAGAATCATAGTCTGATTCTTCCTCCTTGGACTACCTGAATCAGTCAAGCAGAGTTAAATATGGTCTACCCTACAACACTGACTTCCCATGGTACTTCGCATGTTCTGTGACTCTGACCACCCACTACTTATTCAATGGGAACACAGGCTAGGGTCTGCAAAATCATCACCCATCAAATTGCGACCTCAACCAGTTATCTTTTGGGTCCTAAACTTTGCAGACAAGATCACCATCTTTAAACCTAGAGGAAACACTGTGGTCTTAAATACCAAGGTCTCTTGATCCTTCTTTTTCAAGACTATACCGCTTCAGTGGTGAACCAGCCAGTGAGAGTTTTCACCAATATGCAAGATTTTAGTTGACAAAAATAAAAAGATTTGTTTTACATTATCCAGCAAGACTGAGGATAACATAACACTTACTTCCACTCTCCTCAAAACATGAAACAAGAACCGGCCAAGTTGGCCAACATATAAAAGTCACCATACCCAGGGCTTGAGGTTGTTTTAGACTTAGACAACCTCTGGATTATGGTTGGTGATAGTGGTCTATAAATGGTTTTTATTTCTTTCCTGTATATATTTGTTTGTTTGTTTTTGGTCTATAATTGCTTTTGTTCCTTCTCTCTGTCCATTTATTGTTTGTGTTTTCATATTATTTCTATTCTCAAATATAACACAGTTATTTATGCATTTATTATATCCGGTCAGTTTCTACTACTCTTCTTATGACAGTGCTACTCTTCCCTACCCTCTCGGCATTGTCAGACCCCATTTGCTGGAAATACTCATTAATGCCATTTGAGTCTTTGGCCAATAAAACATCACTAAATGATATCTTTTAACTGTAACTGTACATGTACATGATACCAACAAAACACCCTTATTATTATTGTGGAATTTTGCTGGTCTTAGCTCTCCTGCAAAACTAAAATAAGCTGTGTTGCATCTTGCAGATTTAAACACCCTGTCACCTTTTTACAAGAAACTCATATGCAATGCAAACAACCTTCCACTTTAAAAGCCAATTGGATTTATCACGGTATTATCACGGCCCCTTATAAATCTAATGCAAGATGTATAACTTTATAACATAATTCTTTATTATCACCAGATATACACTCACAGGTTATTGACAAAGACGGTATTAAGAATATATTATATGTCACCTTAGCATTATCTGTTGGTCCAGTAAATAAATTCATTATACTTATTTATAGTAAAAACAAAACAAAAAAGTTACCTGCACTCTTTCCAAATCCCCATGCATTTTTAAACAAATGTAGGTTATTTAGTTACTCCAATGTCATTAGAGGGAAGCCCACCTGCCAAGTCAAGGCAAACCTCTTAGGTGGGTCCTACACTAACCTTTCACCTTGCTTCCCTGAGCTTCAGTCAAAAATATCTCTGAGACAGAGAGGGGTATTTTTATGTACACCCCTACATACTCATTAACCCCTAATAGGGAACACATGGGGTGGGCAGCAGCATTGTAACATAGCTGCGGGATACAAAAGTGAATACAAACACACAAAAACAAGTCCTGCACTCAAACTCTCACTACTCTTGGGCGGCAGTAACGACCATAGTACACATCAGCCCCAATACCAAAGAAAAAAGTTACCTGCGCTCTTCCCAAATAACAAATGGAGGTTATTTAGTAACTTTATTTTCTTTGGTTTTTACTCTATGTATTGGGGTTGATGTGTACCATGGTCGTTGCTGCCTCCCAAGAGTAGTAGGAGTTTGAGTGCAGGACTTGTTTTTGTATACTTATTTTAGGTTGGGGAGCAGGAGGCGCCTTAGAGTATTAAGCCTACAGGCTCCTGACATGTAAATCCGGCCTATTAAAGCTTAGAAATGTTTGAGACTCCAAGTGAACCTTCAATGGTAATATTCAAGAATTTTCACAATACTTTCTAACACTTCCTTTTACATAAATGTTCTTTATCCTACATTAGTAACTGTTTAGACTTTCACAACCATAAAGCATTAACCCTTATGCAACTGTGGGACAAATTCACTTCCCTTCAAATTCCCCTTTTTGCCTATCTACAAATTAAGCATTGTGTTCATTCTTCCTCATATCCAAGAGAATGATTGGAGTAACTCATTAGAATATATTGTTTGTATCCCTCCCCAACCTAAATACACTGTCAAAGATATTTTTATGGCTGTATGTGAATGTCTGACTTGTTGAAAGTAGGTGGCTGATTTATGACTTTGTTTTTGGGGCTGCTGACAAATAAGGGAATTCTGGACAGAAATTTGAACTTGTATTCGGATATATATATAACCTTTTACACTTTCCAGTACCGCTGTCTCCGGAGCTTTCCATTATTGGTATTTGGTTTCCGGCAACAGCTCTAAACACTCCATTTTTTTTCATATGTTCTTGGTGTCTGCCAAAAAAAGCACCCTTCATTCCTGGATCCAAGATAAATGTGTTTAAACTGGATTGGCTGGAGGTCTTCTAGTCTTGGCAAAAATAAGGGTTCTCAGTTTTTTAGTTATTGGGAGCCCCATATCCAGTCTCCAGTATCCATCATAAGGTTCTTATTCACAAAACTGCTTAATTTACTGACTGGTACGGTATGAAAATATGTTCGCTGGGTACCTTCTCTTTGGATAGTTTTCCCCCTTTTATTTGCATAAGGGACAGTAGTTGCTTGGAACTGACTGTATCACTCTTACTCAAGATTTTGTCTTATGTGTTAATTTAGATTTCTTGTTTCTTATAAGTTAATAGTATTTTACATATTTACTAGGCTGTTTGGCATTGTAGCACCAGCACCCGTCACATAATTTTCTTTCATTTACAATATTAAAAAGTTTTGGGAGAAAAAAAAGCATAAACTAAAATATCAATTACCCTATGATTAAACCTAAAAATATACAACAATAGGGCAGATTATTACCGTATACAGTGTTATCATATTTATTATCTAAGATGATTCTCATCCACAGATATTCCCGTACATAAACATTCACGCCAAATTTATAACAAGGGATTTATGTTAATAAACGTGTGTGCCAGTAGTTGACATTGACCTTATTTTTCACTGTTGGCAAATAAGTAAGGAAACAGAAGGGTAATCTGCCAATTTCATTAAATAAATCATGTTGCAGTCCCCAGTGGGAGATAAAGGAAAATTTAATCAGACTAACATTAATTTCCTTTTTCAGAGCGTTGAAACACTGGAATGGGCGCTTAAAAAGTTAAAGCGATCTTTGCTTAATGAAAGGAAGGAATTAAAAGTTTGCAGCATTATTTTCTTTTAAATATAATGTTTTATTTAACTAAAAAAAACAAAATTAAAAAGTGCTTTCATTGACAAGTTATAAAATTAATATTAGACATTGTGAATGTTATAAAACTGACAAAGTGTACATTAAATGCAATCAGTCATTTTCTATTTTCTATGCAGGTCCACCATATCTCATGTATATATCACCCCAAGACCTTGCATTTGACATCCCATTGAGTATATAAAATGCCATATTTTTAAGCAGATCATGGTATAAAACCTTATAATTCACAGAGATAGTGTCAACGCTGGGAATTATTTTCTGTAATGGATTGCAGTGTTTAGATTGTGCTTCACAGTTACTCAAATAAGATTGAGTTAGGAATATAAACTGCTTCTCTGCATACTCTCAATTTAACATTCAATCTGATTATGGTGAAAAGATCAGGAGCCTGCCTTAATCCCCAGGTTGAGACCTCTCACCAGAGGAGGTAGCAGTGGAGGTTTGTCCATCGAAGCACTTGGTGTAGCTCCCCACAAGTTTTTATGTGGGGGGACATTTCATTTGCAGTAGTTTAGAGACATTAAGATAATTTTTCTGGAGGCGAGAGTGATAAGCCAAACAATATGGGGAAAAATAATGCAGTTCTGCAGCCCTTCCCATCATGTTTGTGGTATGATTACATAGGTATTGTACCCAGCTCTATGTATTATATAGATATATTTCTGCTCTGACCAACTTGTTTTACTGTATTAGTATCTCAGTATTATGCTCAGCTCTGTGTATTGTATGCATATCTCTGTACTGTATTGGGAGAGTAACATTCTGGGGGAAAAATCTGGTGCCTCACCATCTGAAAACGTCACCAGCCGACACAGGGAAGCTGGTGCGTGTGTGTGTTAATATGTAAGGATAGATAGATAGATGTAGATATATCTATCTCTTTATACATATGCTCTCTCTCTCTCTCTCTCTGTATATATGATAGAATTCATGGTTCCATATACAGCTGCAAACAATTCTACGTACACTTACATAGAGAGTTACATATATATATATATATATAAATATATATATATATATATATATATATATATGTAACTCTCTATGTAAGTGTACGTAGAATTGTTTGCAGCTGTATATGGAACCATGAATTCTATCATGCAAATTCAGCCAAAGACTACATACGATTCAGTGGGAATTATATACATTTCTGCTCTAGTGCTTGTTGATGTAGTTTTCATGTAGCAGTGTGTACCTGTTCATCTAACATAGGCCTCAATTTAATATTGTTGAATAAACTTTCCAAATGATTTAATATTTTTGGATAAACTTTTAAAATATATTATTTTTCAAACTATTAAAATATCAAACGCATATTTTAAAAAAAATTCAATATATCCAAAACTATCAACATTTTACAAATATTTTTCATAATAATACATCAGTTTAAAAGTTTATTAAAAACCATTACATCAACCTGAAAGAGTATCCTACAATATTAAATAGAGGCCTTGTACAGCACTTTTACATTGATTAATTTGTGCATTATATATATATATATATATATATATATATATATATAATATTTATATACACAGAGAGAGAGATAGCCTAGCAATATGTATATAAATCAATGAGAACCACATTATATTGCAAGTGCTTGTTTATATATTTGACATTGCCTTCTAATTGTCCTATTTTTCTGTCTTGTCATGTTTGAAAGATGTTCTGAAGCAGACAAAATTGTTTTTCAATAAAAGAACAAAAAAAAAAATCAATTCTTATAGCGTCTTTAGAATTATGATTAGCGTCACAGACCTTTCAGAACAACTCTTCTAAAGAAATTAAATCTGTGCACAAAAAGAAAAAAAGTATGTTAACCCAAACAAATTCTGATTTAGCACAAACTTTATTTATTATCATGTCTATGAAATATGACCTTGAAATGGTATCACAAATAAACCTGCTTTGGAACCAGCAGTTTTGCCAGATCAATGTGCTACATGAAATGTGTAATCACAATGTATTTTCTGGGCTTAAATGAGTATAAATGGTTTGAAATATTCAATGTGATTTCATCTTTGAATAGAAGTCTGCCTCTCTCAAATCTTAAAGGCAGTAGCTTTTACAGCTTACTTTAAATTCTTCCCAGAAAACAGGCAAGGAAAGGATAATTTAAACATTATTTCAGAAGTCAGGGAGAACTTAGGGTCCATCCATAGGGTCTGTAGACAAATTTAAAGGGTACCTGTCATAGCAAATACCACTTAACACACACTGACACAAACACACACACATATTTCCAGTGATGCACTATTTTTACCACATTCTTGTAGGAACTGGAGTGGCTATTCTAACGGCACCATCTGCATTTCCACGCCTGGCATGCAGAACAGGGACATTAATTTTCCCAAGACAAGGCACTGTCCTGGCAAATAGGGTACAATTGCCAACTATGTTTATTGCTGCAGCTTCGGAAAGACAATCTGAAAATGGAGAAAAAACATGTTTTTCTTTTAAATATCATAAAGGCAATGTAAAGTGTAGGGGCCTTTAACCTGTTATGGGAAACAAGTCTGTGCTTTCCAAAGAGGGGTATGCAGGAGAGGTGTGTCTGAAAACATGATTGATGGTTTCAGCAGGAGACAAGAGTAATGGAAATAGAATAAAATATAAGCTTTTTATAGTAATAATGGACAACATGCTTAATTGTATAACATGAGTCACACCAGAAGGTTAGAAAGCCGCAATCCTAAATTTGTCATGACAGGTTCACGTTAAGATACTCAGTAGTCAGTGGTAATTTTTCTTAAAGCCATATCATGTGGTTCTTTAGACATGTTGAGTCTTGATTTACTGATCCACAAATAGGCCTAGTTAAGAAAATCACCGGTAAAAATAGCCTTGAGCAGATCACCAATCACCTTTGGGACACAATATTAGAACAAATACAGAATTCACAGAGAGGAATCCTACAAGAATAATAGCCATCTATCCTTCTGGAAGAGACACTAACTTTCAACATACTGGACTACATCCTATGTAAATATGATGCAGCATTGTTGACTGTGCAGCCTTTGTAATAACAGTTTTAATTGCTTTTTGAATAACCAATTATATAAATAGTTTCATAATATGTTTCTGCTGGCATCTCTGAGTTTCAGTATAGAGCTATGTCTGATCGCACTGCTAAATCAGAGAGAAAATTTCCATTTCCAGGATTGCTGTGAGCGCTCTGAATATCCAATCTGGACAATCATGCTGTGTACAACTTCTGGAAGTACCATGCCTCGCAACATTTCAAATGGACAAAGAGGGACCCGTTGTTTAGGGGTGTGAGTGGAGGTGAGGCCAGGGGCAGGGCTGATCTGAGAAATTTTAGGCAACTTATTAATAACAGTTTATTGCAACAAAAATGTAATTTAGAACAAGAACAATGTATCTAAGTCACACAGAAAGAAACATATTTACTGTAGTTTAAAAACATTCTATTGTTGTGGACTTCCTTTAAACACTCTAGGTAGTAAAGAGGGACATAGAGATTTTGGTCCAAACCGGGTCTCTAAATAGGGACACTTGGGAGGTATGCAGCAAAATAGGTAACAGCCATGCTGAAATTGAGCAAAAAGACAACAACAAAACTGTACAAGTGCCCCTTCCTCGTAGAACTGGGCTTATATTTATAATCACTGGCCAATATATATTAGTATTCAGCCAACACCCTAAATTAGACTTGTGCACAGAAAAAAAAAAATAAAATAAAAAAAATGTTCGGCTGAATCGATTTACCTGGGGAAAAAAAAGAAAAGAAGAATTAATTTGGATGGTCTGAAATTCATTCATATGGTATTTTGGCTCAGAACGAATTTTGACCGTGCAATTGTTTCAGCAAAACAATTCAGACTAACCAAAACAGCACAAAAATGGGCCACTAGATCTGTGAATAGAATCCAAATTTATTGTCTGTCCCTTAGCCATTATTCATTTTTCTGGTGCCATGGATGGAACTCCAGATCTCAAAGAAAATTAAACTGATACAGAGTTATGGAATTCGGCCAACCTGTAACTGCCCGGAATTCTGATGAATCTCAGTTTGTTTAAAAGCGAATGCACAAGTCTACTGTAAAGCCCAGTTTCCGATATATCATGACTAGAGATGAGCGGACACCTGGATGTTCGTGTTCGGCCGTAATCGGCAAAAAGTTTGAGTTCAGACTCGAACTTGACCCGAACTTGACCCTGAATCCAAACCCCATTGAAGTCAATGGGAACCCGAACTTTTGGGCACTAAAATGTCTCTAAAAAAGTCCAGGAAAGGGCTAGAGGGCTGCAAAATAAAGTAAAATGGGGGTAACAGTAGGATAAGTGCCCTGCAAACAAATGTGGATAGGGAAATAACTTAAAAATAACATAAAATACATAAAAATTAAAATTAATAATCTTGAACTAGGAGGAGGAGGTGGATGTGGAGTAGGAGGTTGAGGAGGCGGTGACCATGGCGGTGACCATGGCGGTGTAGGTGGAAGCGGCGGTGGAAGAGGAGGAGGTAGCCAACACTTTTTTTTTTTTTTTATAGGGGTAGCCCCAAAATATTGGGACATATAAAAAAAAGAAACATTTGCGGCCTGCGGTGCATTTCTTGCAGTCCAATAACGCCATCAGGTTTTTAAAACTGTCCGTCTCCACCAGACGGAATGACAGCATTTCAAAGGCCAGGAATTTTGAAATGCTGGCATTCAGGGCCAGGGATTGCGGGTGGGTAGGGGGGTACTTCCTCTTTCTCTACAGTGTTTGGGAGATGGACAGCTGAACGTTTCCATGGGACAGTGTGGAGATGCTTGGGGACGGTGGCGGACGTGGTGGCGTTGCTGCCACATCCTCTGTTTGCAGGGTGGCAGGTGCCACTGTCACTCCAGAGGTGGAGGAAGAGGCCGAGACAGCAACAGAAGAGGAAGCAGGAGGAGCCTGAGATCTTTCTTGGTTTTTGAGGTGCTTACTCCACTGCAGCTCGTGCTTTGCATGTAGATGCCTGGTCATGCAGGTTGTGCTCAGGTTTAGAATGTTTATGCCTCGCTTCAGGCTCTGATTGCACAGTGTGCAAACCACTAGTGTCTTGTGGAGTAGGAGGTTGAGGAGGCGATGACCGTGGCGGTGTAGGTGGAAGCGGCGGTGGAGGAGGTAGCCAACACTGTTTTTTATTTGTTTATTTTATTTGTATGTTTAGTTTCTTTTTTTTGTTTTTTTTTTAATTGGGGTAGCCCCAAAATATTGTGCACTTGAGTATAACAATGGCTGGGTGAGGCCGGTATAAATGTCTATTCTGCACAAGGTACAGACAAGTCTGGTTGGATCCATGCCTTGCTCATTTTAATAAACGTGAGCTTGTCCACGTTGGCTGTGGACAGGCGGCTGCGCTTGTCTGTGATAGCGCCCCCTGCTGTGCTAAACACACGTTCAGACAATACACTGGCTGCAGGGCAGGCCAGCACCTTCAAGGCATAAAGGGCAAGCTCAGGCCATGTGCCCAATTTAGAGACCAAGAAGTTGAAAGGGGCAGACCCATCAGTCAGTACGTGTAGGCATGTGCACACAAACTGTTCCACCATGTTGCTGAAATGCTGCCTCCTGCTAAGACGTTCCATATCAGCTGGTGGTGCTGGTTGTTGTGGCATGCTGACAAAGCTTTTCCACATTTCGGCCATGCTAACCCTGCCTTGTGAGGTGCTGGCGGTGCCCCAGCTGCATTGGTAACCTCTTCCTCCTCCTCTGCCTTCGCCTTGTGCTTCCACTGAGCCCCCGGTGTCAGTTGGGAATGCCCCCAGCAGCGCGTCTACCAGCGAGCGCTTGTAGTCGCGCATCTTCCGATCACGCTCCAGGACGGCACATTATCCTTGTAACGGGGATCCAGCAGGGTGGCCACCCAGTAATCAGCACAAGTTAGAATGTGGGCAACTCGGCAGTTGTTGCGCAGGCACTTGGTGACTCTAGATAATCTCGGGCCGATCGCACGTCCCCGTGACAGCGACGACACATTTGGATGTCTGCCCTATTAACTTTCGATGTTACTTTCTTCGCCTACCATGGTGACCACGGGTAACGGGGAATCAGGGTTTGATTCCGGAGAGGGAGCCTGAGAAACGGCTACCACATCCAAGGAAGGCAGCAGGCGCGCAAATTACCCATTCCCGACGCAGGGAGGTAGTGAGGAAAAATAACAATACAGGACTGTAATTGGAATGAGTACATTTTAAATTGTTTAACGAGGATCTATGAGAGGGTAAGTCTGGTGCAGAGTGACTGACCCGTGCGTGCTGCAGCTGAAACTCCACTATCGCCTGCTGCTGCTCACACAGTCTCTCCAGCATGTGCGAGTTCCACCTTGTGGGCACGTCGCATATGAGGCAGTGAGCAGGAAGGCCAAAGTTACGCTGCAGCGCAGACAGGCGAGCAGCAGCACGGTGAGAACGCCGAAAGCGCGCACAGCCGCTACAGTGAAACTGCGAATTGCTCATTAAATCAGTTATGGTTCCTTTGATTGCTCCATCTGTTACTTGGATAACTGTGGTAATTCTACAGCTAATACATGCCGACGAGCGCTAGGGGACGACTGCTCTGCTTTTGCACCCATTTGCAAAAAAAAATTCTCTCCCATCTTCTGTGGGTTATTGCATTTTTAAGATGTAGACTTATTCTATCACACTAGCCATGCACAGGTAGATTGTCTGGCATGTTGTTTTTTGGTTTGGTTTTTAACTTTGTAGTTGTGTCTTTACACAATATAGAAATGTATATTAATGCTTCTGTATATGAAGCGATCACAATAACACTTATTTTTCACTTTTTAAAAAAAAAATCAGGCTAAGCAAAAATTGGCAATTAACAATATGACATCTGAAAAGCTCATGAAAGGATGCTGTATGATTTTTTAAAAAAGAACATACTACATGAAGGTCCTGTTCACTAGAGTGTGTAGTCATGAATGTAACCAGTAAAACATATTTTAAAACTTGTTTAATCTTGTTACAGCATGACTTGTAGTCTTGTTTTTAACTTGTCTATAATACATATTTTTGTATGGCATTTAGTGTGTTTTTTCATTGATTGTTGAATTTTAATGGTCTAAGATAATCAACATGTCAACAGGCAAACATAACCCGAATGATTTGTCTCAGTCTTGCCTTCTATACTACCTGCACCATAGGCAACATTTATTTGTCTTTAGACTTTCTTGAGAAGCGGTAACTAGCCAGTGTTGCACACATACACCAGATATGAAGTGCACACCCCAAATGTACTATTTAGCACCCAAAAAATTAGAATTTTTAAAACTGCCATGTAACCACAGTATTTGACGGTTCTTTTTGACTCTCAGATATGAAGTGCACACCCCAAATGTACTATTTAGCACCCAAAAAAATGTAATTTTTAAAACTGCGCTGTAACCACAGTATTTGACGGTTTTATTTGACTCTTAGATATGAAGTGCACACCCCAAATTTACTATTTAGCACCCAAAAAAATGTCATTTTTAAAACTGCGCTGTAACCACAGTATTTGACGGTTCTAGTTGACTCTCAGATATGAAGTGCACACCCCAAATGTACTATTTAGCACCAAAAAATTAGAATTTTTAAAACTGCGCTGTAATCACAGTATTTGACGGTTCTATTTGACTCTCAGATATGAAGTGCACACCCCAAATGTACTATTTATCACAAAAAAAATTTGAATTTTTAAAACTGCGACGTAACCATAGTATTTGACGGTTCTATTTGACTCTTAGATATGAAGTGCACACCCCAAATGTACTATTTAGCACCAAAACAATTAGAATTTTTAAAACTCCGCTGTAACAACAGTATTTGACGGTTCTATTTGACTCTCAGATATGAAGTACACCGCAGGCCCCAAATGTACTATTTAGCACCCAGAAAATTAGAATTTTTAAAACTGCGCTGTAATCACAGTATTTGACGGTTCTATTTGACTCTCAGATATGAAGTGCACACCCCAAATGTACTATTTATCACAAAAATTTTTTTAATTTTTAAAACTGCGACGTAACCATAGTATTTGACGGTTCTATTTGACTCTTAGATATGAAGTGCACACCCCAAATGTACTATTTAGCACCAAAACAATTAGAATTTTTAAAACTGCGCTGTAACCACAGTATTTGACGGTTCTATTTGACTCTCAGATATGAAGTACACCGCAGGCCGCAAATGTACTATTTAGCACAAAAAAGTGTGATTTTTTTTAAACCAACAATGTAACAGTAGTATTTAATGGTTTTATTAGACTGCAAGAAATGCAGTAAGCAAATGTACTATTTTGCACCAAAAAAATTTACAGTATTTAAAAATACCTAGATGTTGCCCACTGAGCTACCATTACAGGATTAAAGTAATGTGCCTGGCACACATGCAGTTGCAAGTGCACTGCACTCTCTGTGGCACTGGGCTCAGGGCAGGGTACAAAATGTAATATAGCACCCACAAAAATAATCGCTCTAGTTTGCAGATTCAACACCAGAAATCTTTAGTAGGCATGGCTGTGATGGCTTCTAAGGGCACACGAGTACAACGCTTGTTGACTGGCTGCCCTGCAGCCTTTCAAAATGCGCATTAAATCGCCGAACACCAAACTCAAACCCGAACATACACTGAAATGTCCGTGTTCGGGGTCCAAAAACTGTAATGTTCGGTACGAACCCGAACTTTCCAGTTCGGGTTCGCTCATCTCTAATCATGACATATCTAGCTCCACATCCTTTGATTCCCTAGTACTAAGTGCTGGTGAGTGACCCTCAATATCTTCATTGCCTTTACTGTCACTTGAAGAAGAAGCTTGATCATTTTCAGTACATCTTAAACCTGTACCTCTTTTCCCTATCAACTACTAGCAAATAAGCAAGTTTGAAACCACCTGTCATTGCTTTTTTTTGAAGATTGCTTCAAAGGTCAATCAAAAAGGTGAATGAATCACAAATATTATAATAAATGAAAGCATAAGGCACAAGAAAAATATACTTCACAGTGATCGATTAGTTTACAAAATGGAAGGGTCGATTGTTTTTCCTTTTACCCTTTTGTTTTCTCTCTTTGTTATACGAACAAAATTGGATTTTCGCAACTTACAATTTTATTAATGTTTGCAATGTATGCTCTTATATTGTATTTTTTTCTCTCTTTGTATGTATTCAGGAAAAAAGGGACATAACATATAACATCTCTCATCAATATAACTTGGGGCAAATTCATTGGGATGTTATAAGAAAAAAAAATATATATATATATATTTGTGATAAGGGCTCATGATAGTACAGAAGAAACAAAACACTGATAAGTGTAGGATGGTATTAAAAGAGCAATTCGGTTGTGGTGTGCCAGAACCGACGATGAGGTAGGCCTGTAAATAAAGAGGGCCCACCAAGAAGAAATGTAAGGAGAAAGGAGTTAATAATGAGGAGTGTTGGGAGGGTGATGCAGCGCTGACCTCGAACGATATGGAGCCAGGTAAGGGGTGTCCCTTAAGTGGGGAAGGTGCGTGTCATACGCCCCTCCCACAATTACAGGCCAAAAGGCCTTAATATATATATATATATATATATATATATATTCCAGGACCCTATTTAGCTTTGACTTGCAGAGAGTCCCAGTAAGGAAGTATTTCCTAAGTAAGTGGATTAATCTCATAAGAGCAAGCATTAGGCTGCTAGAGTAGGACCTGCCAAGAATGGGGTACATTGACATTGTGGCGGGCTTATGCAATATATGATTATATAATGTAACTAAATCCCCATCATTTTTTGCCTAGGTGAGGTGTTTTTAAATAAAACTATTACAATCTCTTAGATTTGAAATCATTGTTTAGTGAATAAGCGAGCGCGCTGGATTGTGTATTTTTTGTGTGTGTGTTTATATATATATATATATATACGTATATATATAAAATTGTTCCATAAAATCTCAAAAAAAGCCAAGAATCACATATTGCGACTCAGAGGTTAAATCTTGTCACGGAGTCACAAGAAAAGTCTATTAATAATAGTGCTACTTCAATCTCATAGAAATTAAATGAAGTGCAACTGAGCTGTGTTTAAATGGTTTATTGAGATCACACTTCGTGTACGTGGCTGAGAAAACACCTTATGATTGAGACTCTTTATTTCCAGCTCCAGATTACAGTTCATTTCTGAACCTAGAATTTTCCTCAATGCAACCTTTTCATTTGTGTTCACATATGAAAAGAATTTCATGGTCAGAAAGGCAGCTTAACCTCCCCCGTGTTGCAGTTCTCAACTGATGAATCACATTGAGATTTAGACTAAGAAAAGAACATGACAAAAGAATACAACCTTCTAGTGAGAAATAAATTTTTATCTAATGGCTTTCCATGTTGGACTGCTGCTTAGTCTATTTTAATGCATTTGCCACAAAGCTGCCGGAAGAAGTTTCAGAAGTAGGTCAATATTTTTGTCTCCCTTCGAGCAAAACAACTTTTGATTGAGTCATTGTGAGCGAGTTATTAATGGCACGGAGAAGTGATGTGTCCATCTCTTATTCCGGTCAACAGTCTTTAATATGCATGTATATAGATATATATTTATGTGTGTATGTATAAAAACTGTGAGCTTTGAAGTTGCTGTTTAGTGGATGAGTGAGTGCGCTGCAACTTGTGTATTGTATTAACTGGCACCAGCAGCACCGATTTATGCATGTTCAGGTGAGTGCAGCCCCCTGTTTTCATATACATAGTTGGGAGTCTAAGCCAACTCCTTGGTTTTGCACCCCTCCCTGTCACAGGTACCTCGTTCCATGACCCTATTTAACCGTTTACTGCAGAGAGTCCCAGGATTTTTCCCCCAAAATAAGTGGGTTAATCTCAAAAGAGCATGCATCAGGTTTCTAGAATAGGACCTGACAAAATGGGGTACATTGGTGTTGTGGTAGCTTTAGGCAATGCAAAAAAAAAATGGCAGAGGAAATGTAATGTAATGTAGAAAAATGCAAAGGTATGCACTTTGGCATCAAGAATGCACAAGCAACTTATACTCTTAATGGAAGCGAACTAGAGATAACCACACATGATAAAAAAGACTTGGGAATTGTTATAGACAACAAAGTATGCAACAATGTACAGTGTCAATCAGCAGTGGCTAAGGCCATGCATGAAGAAGGGCATTAATTCTCAGGATGAGAATATCATTTTGCCTCTTTATAAATTGCTGGTAAGACCACATCTTGAATATGCTGTGCAATTGTTGGCACCTGTTCTAAAGAAGGATATTATGACACTAGAAAGAGTGCAGAGGTGGGCTACAAAATTATTAAAAGGAATGGAACAT